AAAGACTTATTTGGGAGAATAAGCCTAAGGATAATTGGAGAATCCCATCCATCTGCATCATTTTTTATCTTCACCACGAATGTAACCTCGTACAAAGTTTCTGGCGCAAGTGTTGCTCTACCAAATCTCCCACAAACTTCAAGCCGTCATACGCTTTTTTAGTTCTACAACTGAAATTGTTATATCGCTACAAGAAGTAGTAAAATTCAAATCAATTAGCAGCAGGTCTTATGAATGCTAGCTAATTTTAATGGCCAATCCTAAAAGAAAACAAAGCACTTTTATATATTTCAATTTATGTGGCGTAGTTTGGTTGCATTACAACTAAAAGTACACTACCTTTGAAAACTATAAGGACTATTAATGTACTAGCATATATTTAATCGACGATTTTGAGTAAGGGACTACTTTGAACTCAACTTGCATTTATAAGTCGGAATTAGAAATTGAGATGTATAGGAGTCGTTTTAGATGGATATATAAGTCGCATTTAGCAAATGCGATTTATAAGTCGCAATGCAAATGCGGTTTTAAGCCCAATTCGGTATTATAAGTTCAGTTTATCAAATGCGTTTTATTTATCAAATGCAATTTACAAGCGATTTGTACATGTTCTATTTAATTAAAGATTAAACGCAGTTAATCGAATACTATGGGGACTTAAGCTGAATAAAACAATAACTCATACGTCAAGATCTCTATTTTCCTATAAAATATATAACGTTTGTGGTAGGCTAACTTGTTTTTTTTTTTTTTTTTTTTTTTTTTTTTTTTTTCAAAAATAACTTTAGCCACACACTAGAATATAAACAGTTATGTACGCTCTTTCTTTTAGTCTATTCAAAAAAAATACTTTAATAACATTTATAGAAATATGAACATTTATGTGCGGTCTTTCTTTTAGTCTATTCAAAAAAAGGAATAGTAACATTTATTTTACAAGGTCCATTAGCTAGGAACATAACTTTTGAAGAGTAGTAAAATTTGTAAAACAGAAAATAAAAATATCTTATGATGATATAAACCATTTCAAGTTGTAAAACAGGAAATGCTTCCTTGAATTTCAAGGAAGGTTTGAGCCAAATGCAATATGGTGGCCTAGCTAGGGAAACCTTAAAGGGAAAAGGGTCGAAATTGTCCCTCTACTATTGTTTATTGGTTGCTTGTGCCACCCGTTATACTTTTCAGCCATTTTCGTCCCTACCGTTAATGAACTTTGAAAAATACCCCTAACTCTAACGTCTAGACACTGTGGCAGCTGACCACATGAATTTTATCCTTGTCAGCTGCCATGTCAGCGGTCCCACCAAATTAAAACCCCACAACACCCATTTCATACCCGTCTCCTACCCGTGACCCATGACCCGTTTGCCCACTAAATAAATAAGATAGACCCGTCCAAATTAGCAAAGAGTGTCATTTGGTCTGCATCCGTTCGATAGAAACGAGAGAGAAGAGTGTGGAAGGTTCAAAAGAAAATCCGATTTTTTCAGTGTTGAATGTTGTCCAAGGTACGATTTTCCCCCAAAATCTGAACTTTTCTACTAGTTATTGATGATATTTGGTACTTATTTTAGAAGATATTTCTCTTGTTTAGGATTTCAAGTATGTGTGGTCCCTTTTGTTTTTTTAAAGAAGGGTCGGTTAGGGTTTTTTAACTGAAAAAAGATTTGAGCTATTTGTTAATAGCTGACTTATTGTTATTTGGTCCCCTGTTTCACCTGCATTTACTTTGAAGATGATGCTCATGTGGGTCTCTTACATATATGTTTTGTCCTTATTTTATTGTGGTGGGACTCTAAGTTTGATAGTTTATTATGTGGTCCCCCATATGCATGCTTGTGTCTGTTTCTTTATCATAGTATCTCATTCAATTTTGTTTCTTTATTCATTCTGTACCTTTTTCTTATTCCCTTTATTTATCACTGTTTTGTTTATTCAAGCTTTCCCTTACATGTTTATTTATTATTTCTGTACATCTTGTCTTTTTTTACTTCTTTATGCATTTACTATGGTAGGCTGTAATAACTTTATTCATGGTTACTATGCAGCCTTTTATAGATGGTGCTAGTTGAGTTAGTTTTTCATCATGGTAGGGAATGGAGTAGTAAGCCACGCCCGATGTGTAAAGAGGAGTTGATTGACTCAATCCAAACTGTTCATCCAGAGTCACACTTTAGATTTTATGTAAGACATATAGAAGCAAATTGGTGTAAGAGATGGGGTTCTGGTGAATTAAAAAAATTTCTTTGGTGGGCTGCATGGAGTACTTATGCAGAGGACTTCAAAGATCAGATAAAGAATATGGGTCAACTAGATGATGATGGAAAGGAAGCTATGGAGGATTTGTTGAAGTATCTACCAAAATGTTGGAGTAGGGCATTCTTTGATACTATTTGCAAGAACCAGTCTGTAGACAACAACTTGACTGAGTCATTCAATGCATGGATCTTGCAAGCAAGGTACAAGCCAATCATTAAGATGCTTGAGGATATTAGAATCAAGGTAATGAATATGATTACTTAAATTGAAGCTGAGGTGATGTCATGGGGAAATGAATACAGTCCTAAAACCATGGAGTTGTACAACCAATTCATGAGGATTGCATTGAAGTGTCATGTTAATGGCAGTGCAGACCATGGATATGAGGTGACTGAAAGTAGTGACAGGCACATTGTGAATTTGAGATTAAAGAAATATACCTGCAGGGCATGGGATCTTTGTGGCATTCCATGTCCTCATGCAATATGTGCATTATTGCACAAGAAAGTGGATCTTCTAAGTCAGATTCATTGGTACCTTACCAAAGAGACTTATCTCCAAATTTATTCAGATAAGTTACAACCAGTAAGAGGAGAAAAGTTCTGAAAAATTGAACCTTACAGTACATGGCTCCACCACCTTTGGTAAAGATGACTGGGAGACCAAA